TTCATCTTTCTGAAAAACACAAAGACTCCAAGGGTGAATATTTGTTTCCCTTTGGCCTTGTCATAACAGTCTAATATATTAATAATCTTCACTACTAACAAATGAAGCTTTGGAACACACTATAGAACTGGTATATGTATATCTACACATACATATCACATTGAATTTGGAAGGTACAATTACATGTACAAGAAATAACACTTTTCTCATCATTCCCTTGGCTAAGTCTATAAAGAGAATCACAGAAGGTGACCCTATGGCCACTGTCGTAATATAAACACTCAGTGCATCTATGAAGGGTGCTTTCCTTTACTTCCTTCCCATGATGCAAAAAGACAGCTCCAAGGAGAAACAAACAAATGTTAAAACCACAAGTAGCAAAGCAACATTCTCAGAGAATGTCGCCATATAAAATACTGACATAATATAGCAATAGCTATCAAAATAACTCTGACCCAGTCATTCCATTTCTAGATCTTTATCCCACATATTTAATCACTTAAGAAAGGATGTAAGTCAAGGTTAGTCATAGGTAGTAGGAATACGTAACTGAGCAAGTACACTCTGGAACCCAAATCTTGGTTTCTCTGTCCCTTTTTCTTAGAGACACGTCTGGCTCTGTTGCCCAGGTAGAATGCAGTGGTGTGCGTCATCACAGATCACAGCAACCTCAAGTGGCCTCAAATGATCCTCCTGAGCAGCTGGGACTACAGGCACATGCCACAATGCCCAGTGCCCTCTATCTTGGTTTCCAAATACCATTCTCCACTAAAGGAATCACTGCTCCTTGGAAAAACAGCCAATATTCTAGCGCTAAGAAAGCACAAGAAGAACCGGACGTCTAGTTATAGCAGAAAATAAGGAAGTATCAAAAAGTCATGGGGACACGTCAAGAGGCACGAGAGTTCTCCTTGGCTAAGTCTGAGATGGTCTGAGCATTAAACGGAAGTATACTTCATCTGACTGGACTTGTTTCACTGTGGGTCACAGATTCCACATTTTCGATAACTGAAGGTTTGTGGTAATCATGTGTGGAGCGAGTCGCTGGGCACCACCTTCCCACAGCACGTGCTCCCTTCCTGTCTGGGTTACACTGGGTAAGTGTTTCAATATTTCAACCTTTTCCATTATTATACACGTGTCTGTTACAGTGCTCTGTTATCAGTGATCCTTGATACCACTAATCTAATTGTTTTGAGGTGCCACAACCATGCCCATGTCAAACAGTGAACTTAAAACACTAAATGTTGTGTGTTCTGACTGCACCACTGATTGGCCCTTCTCCGTCTCTCCTCGGAACTTCCTATTATTTCCCAAAGACAAAAATATTGAAATCAGGGCAAATGATAAGCCTACAATGCCCTCTAAACTTAAATCAAAAGCTAGAAATAGGCTCAGGGCCTGTAGCTCAAGTGGCTAGGGCCCCAGCCACATACACCTAAGGTGGCGGGTTCGAATCCAGCCCGGGCTACCAAACAACAATGACGGCTGCAACTGGAAAAAAAAAAAAAAGGCCAGGCGTTGTGGTGGGCGCCTGTGGTCCCAGCAACTTCGGAGGCTGAGGCAGAAGACTCGCTTGAGCCCAGGAGTTGGAGGTTGCTGTGAGCTATGTCACAACACCAAGCTAGAAATAATTAAGCTGAGAAAGGCATGTCAAAAGGCTCAGATTATCTATCATTAACATTTTTTAGTATTTTAAAGCATGTACTTTATTGTGGTTGTCCAGAACCAGACCTGCAATATTTCTGAGCTACGCCTGTGGTAACAATGGATTATAACCCACTGAGTAAAGTAACATTTTATGAATCTGGCCAGGCAGGCTGGCTCAGGCCTGTAATCCTGGTATTTTGGGAAGCTGAGGTGGGAGGATCACTTGAGCCAAGAGTGCCAGTTACAGTGAGCTATGATTGTGTCATGGAATTTAGCCCAGGCAATGGAGTGAGACCTTGTCTCGAAAAAAAAAAAAATTCCATGAATTCACCCTAATATAAATTAATGAGTGGATAGGGAAGAAGGGAAAGCTTTCTTATAGCAGAATGTCAACCAATACATGTGAAAGGAATGCTAGAATTAGAAAAACGACCATGTGGCCATCTTAGTAAAAACTGATGGGGGGGCTGTAGTTCAGTGGTTAGAGCGCCGGCTCCATGTAGAAGGGGTAGCAGGTTCAAACCTGGACCGGGCCTGCTAAATAAATAAATAAATAAAAGCTTAAAAATGTATATATAGCCAGGTGTTGTGGCTGGCACCTGTTGTCCCAGCTACTTGGGAGGCTGAGGCAAGAGAATCT